TTGGGTCCAGCGCCCCATGAACACCGTTAATAGAGCACCAGCCGGAACCCCCCACACACACTCTTCGAGTTGTGTACAGCAAACATAGCAAAACATACGCACACCATAATCACTACCTCACCCTTCCCCAACCGCATCAACAAACGAACTACGGGTTGCGCACCCATGCCATCACGGTAAGTCAATTCAACTTGGTTGGTCTCCGTCCCGCCCATGCCAATTCGCAGCCCATCAGGGGTGCGTTTCCCCCCCCTGAGATATTTTTGTCGTCCTTCGTTAAACCGGTCGTTGATTCGGGTTTGTTTGGTCGAAATGGTCGAAATGGTGACAAAGCGCTAGGTTTGGTCGAAATGGTGACAAAGTAGTGGTAGGGTGGATCTTTGGGGGGCGGTGGCAGTTCCTTTGAAAAATGCGGGACCGTTAGCTGCCCTTAGGACCGCACGCTGGGTTTTGGTCGAAACGGTGGCAAAGCAGCGGCAGGGTGGAAAAGTGGAGAAGTTCGCAGCCTGTCAGGGGTGCGTTTTACCCCCCTAAGACATTTTCCCCCGAGACATTTCGTCGTCCTTCATTATACCGGTTGTTGATTTGGGCTCGTTTGGTTGTTGGAAGGTTCGAAAAAATGCATGCAGGTGAAGGCACGACACTTGTGGGGTGGTGGCAGTTTCCTTAAAAAATGCGGGACTGGTAGCTGCCCGTGGGACCGTGCGCCAGGTTTTGGTCGAAACGGTGGCAAAGCAGTGGCAAGGTGGATCTTTGGGGGGTGGTCTTTGAAAAATGCGGGACCGGTAGCTGCTCGTGGGACCGCGCGCTGGGTTTCGGTCGAAACGGTGGCAAAGCAGTGGCAGGGTGGAAAAGTGAAAAAGTCTGAATCGGAAAGGGCGCGGCCTTCGCCGCAGGTTGAAACGACACATTTGCATTGCATTTGCAAGTGCAAACAGATGTGTCTCAACGTGGACCTATTCAACGCCCCACATGTTCAACGCCCTATTGATTGAGTCACATGTGACAAAACAACTCATATTTAAACCGCCAGTACCTAGCCCAGCTATTGAGTCCGAGCCTCGGCCGACTGGTATGCCGATCCGTGCCGAGGCTCGGACTACCGGGCGCAGGCATCCCGAACGTTGAAGTGAAAGGCACGAAAAAAACGGAAAAAAAACAGAAATAAGAAAAACGAATGGGTTCATTCCCGCTTTGTGTTTCCCGAACGACTTCAGAAATGCAAAGCGGGAATGAATTTTTCCGCTTTCGCAGAGAGAGAGAGAGAGAGAGAGAGAGAGAGAGAGAGAGAGAGAGAGAGAGAGAGAGAGAGAGAGAGACTCACCGCCCCTCCCTCCCTCTTTCTCTCTCTCTCGCTCGCTCGTTTCGAGAAACGGAACGGGAGTGGATCTTTCCGCGTTAGGGGGAAGACGCATTTCCGTTTCATTTTTCGAAACGAGACTCTCTCTCTCTCTCTCTCTCTCTCTCTCTCTCTCTCTCTCTCTCTCTCTCTCTCTTTCTCGCTTTCTCTCTCTCGCTCGCTCGTTTCGAGAAACGAAACAGGAATGAATCTTCCCGTGATAGGGGGAAGATGCAATCCCGTTTCGTTTTTCGAAA